AGCAGGACTCAGATTTCTCAGTCTAAAATGACTTCTGGCACGAAGTCTGTTATCTAACCTGATGGTCAGACTAAATTAAATCCTCCAAACTAGCTGGTTCGTCTAATGTGGCGAGTTCATCCTTAATGTTATCGTTAAGAGCTTTAAAGTAAGCACTCTTAAGTGCGCACCCGGAAGTCAATGGAGAACTCAGCAACAGTAGAATCTACCTGTTTGAGATTTAGTAAGGCTCGAGAGTCAATTGTCTTATCTGAATCATGGTTAAAGACTTGAGAAATCTCAGATAAAAATTCGGAAATTGTACAACGAAAACTGGACTCAGAAGAAAATCTTGCCCATTCCAGGGCTCGACCAGTTAGTTGGGACAGAATAAAGGAAATCTTTTTCCTATCGTTAGGAAAACTGTCAGGGGAGTGTTCAAAAAGCAAACGACACTGGAACAAAAAACCCTTAAACTCCTTTTGGTTACCTGAAAATCTTTCAGGGAGACTCGGACGGAACTCAGGAAATGACGTCACGGATGGTGACCTTAGAGGCGGAAGTGGTTCCGGAACAGATCGGGCTGCCAGCGTAGCGTTAGCACCTCCCATGTAGCCGGCATAATTCTGCAGGACTTGATTCTGATATTCTAGTTGTTTGTGTAACTCACGGATTGTGTGGGCGTGTCCATGGATTTGAGCGTCCTGCTCCTCAAGTCTCTTCTGGAGGTGATCTGCTGGGCTTTGTGTTTGCCCGCAGTGTTCTGTCATGATTGGTTCTGAATCAAACCCACATGCAGAACACTACCAGGAGACAGATGAAAAGTTTAACAGATTTTATTAAGTGTTTGCACAAAATAAGACTGCGTTCAGGAAACAGGTCCGGGCTGGATTCTCTGGCGTCTGCAGAGATGACAGTTTGGTTAACCAGGTGGATAGGAGGCGTTGTTTGGTTTTCAGATTCTTGCAGACTATACCTTGGAGAGTTTCAGACTTTCTTCTCAGAGGGGGGGGGGGGGGGACCGGTTGGGTCAAGAGTGCTCAGCAGGTGCAGCGTCTTACTTCTGACTGTAGGATCAGACCTTGGATTGAGGGGTTAGCTCTCCTTCCAAGTGCAGCAGGTGGATTCCAAAGTGAGATCTTCAGGTTTGGCTCTCTAGGCAAAATTCAGGTTAAGCTCTCCCAGAGCTTCACACGAGAGACAGGTTTTCCTAGGAGCGACAAGACAAAGGCTGGTTAGAATTCAGTTTTCTCTAGGGGACAAAAAATCAAAGACAAGGAGGCTCAGGTTCGCTAACCAAACTTAGCTAACACTGCGGTGTCGAAGAAAGGTCTGGCATCTGCTTAAGTAGAGGGTCCTCTAATGGGCTGACGAGCTCCAGGTGTGCTGGTGAGCTCCAGCCCAGAGGACCCACGGCGCACTCTGCTGGGGAAAGGTGGAACAACTCCAGATCCCAACAATCTCAGGGTTTTGTGATTTAGGCTTGGACAGTATTATGTTGAGCAGATGGCGTACATTTGAAGATAGTTGTCTGCCTTTTATAAACCCAGTCTGGTCCTTTGAGATTATTTTTGGTAGGCAGGGGTCGATGCGGCCGGCGAGGGTTTTAGCCAATATCTTAACATCACTATTGAGCAAACTGACATGTCGCCAGCTGCTGCAGTTCTCAAGGTCTTTATTTTTCTTTGGGATGAGCGATATTGATGCTTGAGTTAAAGTCAACGGAAGGGTGCCACGTTTAAGGGAGTCATTAAACATGTCCAATAATAAAGGAGCAAGCTGGTCAGAAAATTTCTTGTAAAAGTCAGAGGGAAAGCCATCCGGGCCTGGTGCCTTGTTACTCTGCATTAATTTAAGGCTGGCTTTCACCTCTTCCAGATTGAGAGGGGCATCTAGAATGTTTTTGGAATTAGTGTCCACAGAGGGGAAAATTAAATTATCTAGGAATTGGTTCAATGGAGTATTGTCTGATGAGGCTTCTGATTTGTATAAATCAAAGTAATATGAAGCAAAAGTATTGTTTATCTCAGTTGGGTCTGTAACTAAAGTTTGGGGGTTCTTACGAATTTGAGTAATGAATTGGGAAGAGGACTGATGTTTTAATTGCCTTGCTAGTAACCGACCAGCCTTGTCTCCATATTCATAATAAGTGCCCTTTGTACGCCTTAAAAGAAACTCTGCTTTGTTTGTGGAAATAAGGTCAAATTCAGTTTGTAATTTCAGTCTCTCCATCTGGAGAGTAGCATTGGCTGAGATGGAGTGCTGTCTATCAATCTGATGAATTGCTGTGATCAGTTCAAGTTGTCTTTGCCTCTCATCCTTTCGTGTTCTGGCATTATATGAAATAATTTCTCCACGGATTACTGCTTTGAGGGTTTCCCAAAGGAGAGAAGGTGAAGTAGAGTCAGATTTGTTGTTTTCAAGAAAGCAGGAAATCTTATCAGAGATAAATTCACAAAATTTGTCAGATGATAAGAGTCCAGTGTTTAATCTCCAGCATGATTGGCCTTTGGATTTAGGAGGTAGTTCCAGGTCTAACAATAGGGGGGCATGGTCTGAAATGACTATCGATGAGTATTCACATTGTTTCACTGAGGGTAGTAAAAGCTTATCCAGAAAAAAGTAATCTATCCGAGAGTATGTCTGATGAACCTGGGAGTAAAAAGAAAACTCTTTTGCTGCCGGATGGTAAAAACGCCACACATCCACACTGCCAATTTGATCTGTGAACACAAACAAACATTTAGCTGCTTTGGATTGACTTATTTTTCTCAAACAAGATCTGTTGAGCAAGGGATTGATAGATAAGTTAAGATCCCCTCCAAAGATGAGATGATGTGTGTCTAGGCATGGAACGGATGAGAAAAGGGAGGACATAAAGTTAGGGCAGTCCCAGTTAGGGGCATAAACACAAAGCATAATAACAGGGGTTTGAAACAGCACATCAACGACAATAATATAACGGCCATTGGGATCAGATATGACCTGTTCCGCTGAGAACTGTACTCGTTTGTGCAGTAAAATAGCTGTACCTCTCGAGCGGCTGTTAAAGTTGGAGTGGAACACCTGTCCCACCCAGGGTTTTCGCAGTCTGATGTGGTCGCAAAGACGAAGATGGGTTTCTTGGAGGAACACGATGTCCGTTTTCATACACTTAAGATGTGAGAGTACTTTTGTCCTTTTAATAGGTCCACCGAGCCCCCTTACGTTCCAGCTTGTGAACCTGATGGTTCTCCCTGTGTCTTTCTGCCTTATGTCAATCATGAAATCAGTGCTAAACTATCAGTTCTGTAAATGCTGATGAAATGGTGGTCTAGCCAGGTCAGTTTAGTAATGGGAGGCAAGGTAGCAACAACATCTACAAAGCCATCGTGCAGGTCAATGAAAAAAGAAAATACTCCTCCATTGAAAATAAATCGAAAAAACAAAAAAGTCCAAAACACAACAGAAGGTGTCCTTAGTGACACCTTCAGGTTCAAAACATTCTTATATATGTGTCCTAACCTCATCTGAAACACAGATGAGCATGCAGGAATTACCACTTTACACAACCGATTGACTGATAGGAATTTGCTTCCTTCCTAATTGTGGAAATATGTACACCTCTAATATTTAATATTTGACAGCGTAAAAAAAGGTACTCAACAGAACCCAAACAGAATTGTGCTTCTCATAAGAATTATTGAACAAATATTTAACCACACAAAAGTTTGTAATAATCATAACTGGAGCTTACATATTAGGAGCTTATTTATGAGTCTGTAACTAAGTTCAGCTCTGGGCTGAATCTTCCAGCTCCAGCCATATATCTATAGTGTCTACAGTTCAGTTCTAGTGGCGCTCCGTGAAAGTTAGAAGATGTGTGTAACGAGACGTCAGGTCTTCACTTACTGCCGAGACCGCGGTAGAAACGCTCCGCCTCCTCCGCGGAGTCAAACAAGCGACTGACTGTCAACAGTGATCCGCAGCCGCGCCGGATAGAGGAGCCCAAAGCGGATCCCATCCTTGTAGAGGAGAGACTTCACTTTGTTGAACGATGCCCGTTTCTTGGCAAGCGCAGCGCTGAAATCCTCAAAGATCCTTATGGGATTGCCCTGGTATGAGATGCTCCGTGTTTTCTTCGCCCACAGCAGCACTTTCTCTTTCTGGATGTAACTATGAAAGCGCACAATAATGGGCCGGGATCCCTGCGGCGGTTTCGGCCCCAGGCTGCGGTGAGCTCGGTCCAGTTCAAATGTCGTATCCTGTAAATCACCTCCGGTCACGTCCTTAAACAGCGTGGTCATGAAAAGACGAGCATCGGTCCCCTCCGCTCCCTCAGGGATGCCGATCACACGCAGATTCTGCCGTTTGGATCGTGAAACCAGGTCCTCAACAACCCGCTGTACCTTTTCATTCGTCTGAGTGTTGGTCTCCACCTTGGACCTCAGTGCGGCCACTTCGCGCTGCAGAGTCGTCAGGTCATCTGAATGGGAAGTGAGGGCTGATTCCATTATGGAGATGGTAGCTGTGTGTGAGGCTACTGTATCAGCGATCTTCTGCAGAGAAGCTTGGATAGGAGCCATGGCCGTATTCAGGGAGGAGGTGAGTTCACCTGTTACGTCTTTGTGCAATTTCTGAAGTTCACCGACGAGCATGTCCAGTGTTAACGGTTGGGCTCCACCTGTTGCTACATTGCTAGCTTCTGCCTTGCTAGCATCTTTATCATGCGGGCTGAAGTGCTGAGTCAGCTGAGGCTGTTTTTTCCCTTGGCGGGTCCCGTGGGATTTACTTAGTTTAGTTTCAAAAGTTTCCAGATCTCCAGATGCATTTGAGATATCAAAAAAGTACTCCAGAGTGTTGTTCAGCATGGGGGTGAGTAGAAAATGAAGGCTAATCATGTTTTGGGTGTACTATTCCTTTAATAGACAGAAACTAGTCAGGCAGCAGAGATACTGTTCTGACCAAGCTTCTGGTCCTCTGTTTTTGTTGGACCTTCATGAACATCTTCATATTCAGTAGGAGAGCCCCACCCTGTTGATAGTTAACCTTTCAGTGATGAAGAAATTTCTTTACAGATGGAAGAAGAGGAGCGAACCTCAGCATGGAGAAAGACCTGGAGCTGGACCGCTGACAGCCAATCAGAGCAGCTTTGCAGCAGGTAAGATTGAACATCTCCCATCAGAGTTTCCTTCTATCGTCTCTGTTGAACCAATTTTGTCTTTAGTTGGATTTGGAGATTCAAGCTTTTTAAAGTCTTTCTGGGATCAATTATCCAACTAAATCTCTGTATTTCCATCTACTGTAAATCTACCAAAGTCTGTGTTCAACCCAACAACCTTTGAACCTCTTCTGTTTTCAGCCCTTTGGGCTAAATGCAATAAAACTAATCATCTCCTTAAAGCTGAAGGTCATTTTGATGCATGAAAACCAAAAGGTGGAGAAAGCAACTTGCTGCTCTGCTTTTCTAAGAAGAGGGAAGGAAAGTCTGAGAGACAGAAACCTGGATTTCCTCTGACAATAGATCACTGATTACAGGATAGATATCTATATTTAAAACATGGAATCATTGGAAAGATCTTCCAAAGGACCAAATCAGTCCCATGTCATTTCCAGTCTCTAATTATTCTTCATAAACATCTAATCCTGTCTCTGAGTGAGAAATGCTGTTTAACCCTTTAAGCCCAGACGGTGCATGAAGCTAGTTAGGATGTTTAGATTCATATTTGTTGTTCTGTTGAATGTGCTGCATTTCTCTTTATAATTATGTCTTGTGTTTTTACTAGAATGAGAACTGCTTAATCTAAATTGTTACACATTTCATTTGTATCGCAGTTTTACAAAAGATAACTGAGAAGATTCAGTAAAGCTGCCTCAATCATATCTACTGGGTCTCATTTTGTTGGTTATCTGTCAGCCAGGACAGAATATGCTGCATTGGGAAAAGCAGAATATCAATAAAATGAAGAAATATATCAGCTAAATTATGTCCTTTAATCCCCAACAACCAGAATTTTGATATTTTTTTTTATAAAACATGGATAAATTTAAAAAAACGGTCAAGTGTTTAAAAATAAACTAATGACTAGCTGTTAATAAAATGTGTAAACATATAAATGATAAATCAGTAAAAATAGATGTAAACAAATCTTGAAGAAATAGTTATCAAATCAAACATTGTAGAAATTGTATACTAACAATTATTAATATCTGTGTATATAATGCAAAAACCTTAAAGGTAAAATGGATGTAAACAAACAAGCAAAACTACAAAAACTATTTAGAAGCAACAGTCACTTAATGAAAGAGAAAAAAATGAGGCACTAACTGGATGTGGTCATCTTTCAAACATTTGATGATGTGAGATAAAGTGAAACAACCATTTTATTTTGCAGCAGGTGACGGCCTGCCAAACGGCTGAACTCTCTGATAATGATAAGAAAGAAAAGAAATACACTATAAAACAACCTTGTTATTTGTGAATCTGACTGCAATCGACAGATAAGGTTGATGATGCTGGAATTAAAAAGTTAGTGAATGATTTCCTCATAAACGGGATTCAGTCTGAGTTGCTCTCCATCCTCTTTAAAATCTGACAAATTCCTCTATTTTGCATCACTGCCCCTCAGAATTTCTTTCAAATTCTCCTGGATGGATCATTATACATTCTATGCCATCAGGACTGCAGCTGTTTTCTAAAATCTTCTCAGAGGCGAACAAATCAACAAACCTCCTGAATCTGCTGATGCATAAAGCGCTCTGTGAGCAAAGCTGTTCTGCTCAGATATGTTATTTTCTCTGCTATAGACAGAGAATACATCACCAGGACACATCAGAAAAAATTGTGTCATTTATTTATAGTGCTTTAAAACCAGAATAATATAAGAAAAAGCAAATGGTGATGTGAAAAACCAACCGTAAACAGAGGGGGGATTTCAGCTTTCAAAAACCAACAATGCAGCAATACAGTTGATTCCCTCCCCTATCATTGCAACCCCCACCCCCTTACAGGGGAACAGAAGACCTTGCCTGTTCAGCCACGCCAGAAATTCCCTCTAGCAACCCCCCTTTCAGAGATATAGACAGGTATTGTGCATTGCAGGCTGACAAAGAACCCAAACGACCCTCATTCCTAAGGGGTGGACCCATTCATCAGGTTCAATTTGCATGTTTTCTAAACTAAAATAAGGCTTTGTTTTTGGTTCACTCTATAAAATCTGGAACTCAACGCTATTTTTGACATTTTTAATTGAAAAAGCTTCCTGGATGGGAAGCAAAACGTCTTCAAACTTGGAAACGAAGTCCAGTGGAATGTTTTTTTTAACTTTTCTGGAATGACTCTGAGCTGGATGACTGAGAATCGTCACGTGCAGATGTTTGAAGGATTTAGAGAAAAGAATAGAAGTTTTAGTTTTTACCTTACGTTTAAGTTGTAAAAGGATAGACAGAGCTCCGCCCTCAGAGGTTCATAGTGGTGGCGGTATTCTGGGGCTTAAAGGGTTAAATGTGAAAACTAGCTGCTCCAATGAGATGTTTCTCTAGCAGGTTAAATCATTTCCTCTATTTTCCTTCATTAAGGCTGTAAAATTCTGAGGAACCTTTTTGTTTCTCTGCCTCTTCTGGAGCTGCCGTGTTCATTGAAGAAGGTCCAATACAACCAGTCCAATGAGGACAATGGTGACATGATGCCAAAGAGTAGATGTTGCTGTCAGCATTTCTTAATTTTCTCTGCTTTGGAAATCAGATCCTGACAGCGAACAAATACAGGCCAGAAAACAGAGGCAGAAATATGCTGTCTGACAATTTAACAAGGTTCTGGTTCTGAGGACAGATCAGATTGTTTAGAACCACATAGTGTGAAGGAAGAGACCTTCTAATGATAACACCTCCTGATGTTCCAGATGGTTTGGTTCCACTTAATCACTGTATCAGTCTTTTTCCTTCAGTCGTCTTTTCTTCTGTGTTTCAGCAGATGTTGGTCTGCAGGAGGTTCTAGAGGAACATAAGATCAGCCTGAGGAGGAGATGTGAATGTGTGACTGAAGGAGGCTATGAAACAGGAAGTAGAACCCTCCTCAACAGGATCTACACTGATCTCTACATCACTGAGGGACAGAGTGAAGAGGTTAATACACAACATGAGGTGAAGCAGCTGGAGAGAGCTTCCAAGATCCAGAACCTCCATGATTCTCCAATCAGGTGCCAGGACATCTTCAAAGCCTTCCCTGAACAACATGGAGCCATCAGAGTGGTTCTGACCAACGGCGTCGCTGGTGACCAACATGGAGCCATCAGAGTGGTTCTGACCAACGGCGTCGCTGGTGTTGGAAAAACCTTCTCAGTGCAGAAGTTTGCTCTGGACTGGGCAGAGGGCTTGGAGAACCAAGATGTCCGTGTGGTGGTTCTGCTTTCCTTCAGGGAGCTGAACCTGATCAGAGATCAGCAGCACAGTTTTCTCACGCTGCTCCATGTTTTCCATCCAACCCTCCAGAAGCTCCCCGCAGAGAAGCTGGCTGTCTGGAAGCTTCTCTTCATCTTTGACGGTCTGGATGAAAGCAGACTTTCTCTGGACTTCAACAACAGTCTGATTGTTTCTGACGTCACACAGAAGTCATCAGTCAACGTTCTGCTGATTAACCTCATCAAGGGGAACCTGCTTCCCTCGGCTCTGGTCTGGATAACTTCCAGACCTGCAGCAGCCAATCAGATCCCTCCTTCCTGTGTTTCCAGGGTAACAGAAGTACGAGGTTTCACTGACGCCCAGAAGGAGGAGTACTTCAGGAGGAGGTTCAGTGATGAAGATATGTCCAGCAGGATCATCTCCCACATCCAGACCTCCAAGAGCCTCCACATCATGTGTGGGATCCCAGTGTTCTGCTGGATCACTGCTACGGTTCTGGAGAACCTGTTGACCACAGAGCAGAGAGGAGAGCTGCCCAAGACCATGACTGACATGTACTCACACTTCCTGCTGGTCCAGACCAAGAGGAAGAATAACAAGTACCATGTAGGACATGAGAGGAGTCCACCGGAGCTGACGGAGGCTGACAGGGAAGTTCTCCTGAAGCTGGGGAGGCTGGCATTAGAACATCTGGAGAAAGGAAACATCATGTTCTACCAAGAAGACCTGGAGCAGTGTGGTCTGGATGTCACAGAGGCCTCGGTGTACTCAGGAGTTTGTACAGAGATCTTCAAAAGAGAGTGCGTGTTCTTCCAGAAACCAGTCTACTGCTTTGTTCATCTGAGCATCCAGGAGTTCCTGGCTGCAGTCTACATGCTCCACTGTTTCACCAGCAGGAATACAGAGGTGATGGAGAACTTCCTGGGAGAAACATACAATGGAACATTTCTGGATGACTTCATGGCGAAAATCATAGATAAATCCCTCAGGAGTCCAAATGGCCACCTGGACCTGTTTGCTCGCTTCCTTCATGGCCTCATTGTGGAGTCCAACCAGAAACTGTTAGATTTTCCACTTGGTCAGATGAAGATCAGTCGAGGAGCCATCCAGGTAGTAATCAACAACCTGAAGGAGCTGAGCGCTTTTATAATCCCTACTGACAGAAGCATCAACATCTTCCACTGTCTGATGGAGATGAAGGACCTCTCACTATTTCAGGAGATCCAACAGTTCCTGGAATCAGGGAAGAAGCTCTCAGAGATCCAGTGCTCAGCTCTGGCCAGCATGCTGCAGATCTTAGATGTTCTGGATGAGTTAGACCTGGAGAAGTACAACACATCAGAGGGAGGACGACGTAGACTGGTTCCAGTTGTGAGGAACTGCAGAAAGGCTCGGTGAGTCCAGATGTCTTCATGGTGTGATGCTGATTTAGCTCTATTGTCCTCCTGGGTCTTCTTCATGGTTCTAGTTGCTTCTGGACATCTTTGCTCTTTAACTTCTTCCTTCATCCTTTGGACCATTTCAACCATTCAAACATCTAAATGTTCATCTCCTCTAGGACAGCTCTGCTGGAGATTTTGGTGTTAAGAGATTTGGATGAATTTAAAAATATTCTACTTTTAATCCGTTTTTATCTTTCGTTGAAATTAATAGAAAACCTTCAGAATGTAGAAAATCTTTGTTTTCTCTAAAGATCCAATCAGCCAGAGACCCATCAGAACCTTTAAACTCCTCTTCACTCATTGGGCTGTTAGCCCAGAATTCACCTTTTTAGTCTCTTTGATTGTTTTTATAAAATCACTGTTTAGCTCTGATGAAAACTTGGTCCATTCAGATCAATCCCTGCATTGCTTATGTTGCGATGGAGATTAGTTGTTTGGAGTTTTCTCACTATCTCGCTGCTCTTGAGTCCCCCCTACTGATATAACATCATTGGATCTTCTGTCCATGGCTCCACGTCTGTCACTTTATCATAGAACATAATTAGCTGTCACTCTTCACCGCGTCGTCAGTAGCTACGTGATTGTAGGAGAGACGACACATGGTAACTCCCATTAATATTAACCAGCAGCTACTTCTGTTTTTATTTGGAATAAAAAGTAGTAGACGAGTTGGTTTAAAAAAAAAAAGATGCCACCGAAAAAGTCGTCAGACATGCAGAGCTTTTTCAACAAAATAAAGCAATGGAGTGTAAGTAGCCTTGAAAATCAGTATTGTAATGCAATAAGTTTGACAAAAGCAGGTGTTTAAAAAGTGTTTTCTTTGCTAGTTTAAAAAAGCAAAACACCTTTTTTCTGTTACAGTTTTTTCCTGTTTTTATTTGTTATTAATGTTGCTGATGTTTCTGAGCCATTACAAAAGAGCCACTTAAAGGAACCAGTCTATCTGTACATTATAATATTTTTATTTTGTTACTGTTGCATTCTCAGCAATATAAAAGCCCTGAATAAATGTATGCTGTTCAAATTTGTATTTGGGCTTATTTTTAGTTCAACACAAAAACCTAAAAAAAGCTTTAAATCCTGTTACTGGAGGTTCATCATCCCCAACCCTTATATCAGGGGTAAACAGTTAAAAATGAGGGGGGCGAATAAAGAAAATCATCAACCAGTAAAGGTCTGGAGACATTTTTAATGATCTGTTACTTTAAACAGAATTTAACACTGAAATAAAATGAGATGTTTATGCATCCATGTTATACATAAACTTTTTTAAATAAAAAAAAATACATTTTTTTCTGTTTTAAAATCTAAAGTGTTTTTTGAAGGAGGAAACAACAATAGTTTGATTTACAATTTCCTGATTCACATCTTTTATAAAACACCTGAACTGATGGTTTGTTCTTTTCTTTCTTTTTTCTGTCTTAATGAGAGCAGTGGGCTTTAGGCTACCCTGCAAGGCTTTAAACCTGGGTTTAACCAGAGACTAAGCCATTCTCAAGCACATATCAAGGTGCTCATTTTGAGCCTGGATCCATATTGGTTTTTAATTCCGTTCATGGTGGAGAATCCTGCTTCACAGCAACAGGTTGAGCCAAACATCCTCTAAATGTTCAGGCTCTGCTCCGGTCTGGCCAGGTCAAGATCCGCTATTAGAATCACACCAAACAGGAAAAAGAATGTCGAGAAGATCTGGTTTGTCAAATTAAAATATAGTAACTACAGATCGGTAACTACACATCAAAGCATAATTCTTATATATTTAAAAAAACTTTCACAGTTTATTTAACAGACTGGATGTGAACTATTGGTTGCCCATCAGCCCAGGAAACAGATTTCTCATCTCCATCAGAAACCGCACATTTGCTGGATGCTGATGGGGTTCAATTCTGCATGTTTTGCTCCTACGAATTTGTTGATAATATCGTGCATGCTCTCTTTGAGCTCCGATGATAAGTCGGAGCACAGAAAGACGGGAGGAACAGTGAAGGCTGTAGGCTTTGGATTGCGTAGGAGGTCTGGAGCGCTTTGGGGCGGAGCGGAGATGGAGGATGTGGAATTTCGGCGTAACAGGAGAAGCGGCACAAGCGACGTTTAGACACTGTCCTCACACAACATGTGGTAATTTATAAATGCTTTAAATCTCGGGCTGCTGGGGGGGGTGGTTGCGCCGGCTGCGGTCTGCTCTTCTTGCGGTTTTGCGCCGGGCGGCTTTTCTGCTCTCGGGCTGATTCTGTGCGCGGTGTGTGCGGCGGATGCGCGTGGGCCCCGGCCGCGGGCGGGGCCGCCTGAGTGTTTTTCCTGGGTGGTGCGGTCGCGGTGGGTGTTGCGGCCGGTCGCCGGGGGGCGGGGCGTGTTTCGGTGCTCTGTGGGGCTGGGGCGTTTCGGTCGGTGCCGTGGGGGGGCTGGTGTTCGGTGCCCGGCCCTACTTCGGGGTGGCCGGCTGCTGGCGGGGCCCGCGGACTCGTCCCCGCGGCTCCCCGGGGCGCCGGCATGGTGGTGGCTGGGGGGCTTCTTCGTGGCTGTCTCTCCTCCTCCCTTGGTGGGGGTCTGATTTCCGGGGCTGGCCCCGCCTTGGTGCCTTCGCTTCTGGGGTCCCTTTGGGCGCCTGGGGCTTTGGGTCTCCCGGCGCTGGACTCAGTGCTCTGGGGGGGGCGCCTCTCCAGCTCTCCACAACCACTATTGAGCATTTTTTCTATGGTTAAAACTTTACATGCTGAAGTTCACCCTCACAAACAACTACAGGTGCTAGGCTTCAGGTACTTAGAGATTCACTTCCAAACAGAAACCCCACATTCATATCTTCAGGTAACACAGAGTACATGTCAGACTTAATAATATTACTTTAGCGATAGTTTCAAGGTGTTGCTTTATTGTATATCTCGTACCATGTCTTTTGGTTGTGCTGTTCTTTGTTTTCATCTCATTGCAGGTGATGAAGCAGACTGAAAATGTTTTGTCATTGTCTCCTTCCTATCTCCTCTTTCTTTCATCTTTTGTCCTTTTTTTCTTTTTCTTTTTCCTTCTTCTTCTTCTGTTTTTCTGCTCTACTTACATTGCAGTGTCCATATGAACTATAAAACTCCCTGTATAATTATAATAAAGCAATTTATATGCATGAAACAAGTGGAGCAGTATGGCAATTGCCATACCGCTACACTTGTGAAAGTAAAATCTGTTGGGCTCCTTTTGGCATCAAGACAATTATTCTTATTGCCACCTTGCCAGACAGGACACTGTAAAAAAAAATAACATAAATGTTTTAAATCAGGTTGGGTTGGGTTAGCCAGCAGGTGGATCTGGATCTGGACCACGGTTCGCTAATCTGTGACCTCTGCCTTATAGTGTCCCCACCAACTTTCATTACAAAGTTACACCATTGGTTGAAGCTGTTAGATGTCCTCCATAAAGACCTGCAGAGACATGAGCTTTAACCCTTTAGACATTCCAGCCTCTTCTAATTACTGGGAGAACTTTCACTGCTTTCACATGAAAAATGCTGCTTGACCCAAACGCTCTGTCTCCTCCCAGAGGTTTGGGCCTTGATGTGGAGAGCAGATGTTCATCAGATGATGACATCACTGTTTGCTCATCATGTTTTAGTCTGTGTTTATCATCCAGATTGTCTGATTTCATTAGAACTGACTTTATTTCTCCTCTACTCACAGACTTGGTGGCTTTTCTCTCAAAGAGGCTGAGTGTGAAATTGTGGCCTCAGCTCTGAAGTCCAACCATCATCTGACTGAAGTGATAATAGATCAGATCTATGTAGGGGGAACCTTAGGAGACTCTGAAAGGAAGCATCTGTGTGAGATACTGGAGAGTTCAATCTCCAAAGTAAAGGAACTGAGGTGAGTTTTCTCTGTTTATTCAAACATCATCAAATAGCGAACTTTATTTTCCTGTTGTTCAAACTTTAACATATTATGTTTTGATGGAAAAAATGAGCAAAATTAGTGAAATGATGTTGAGCAATGAAAAGTTTGATTTTGGAAAGATTCAGACGGTAAAACGAGATAAGATTACTTCATTTCTCATTTCTTATCCATATCTTTACATCTAGAATGGTGTTTGATACCTCTGGAGTAGAACCAGAACCACAAACATGTTGAAACAACTATTATGAAAAATAATGTTTAAGAAGATAACAATAAAAGCTTAAAAATGTCATGCTTGGCTTAAGGTTCCTAACCCACATGCAGAACACACTGAAGCATTAGAAAAGTTCAAAGGTTTATTGAGATAATTCTGTGCAAAGAATAAACAGATTCAGGGGTTAATCAGATCCAGGACTGGTCACAAGTGGGTTTACTACAAAGGGGGACAGAGGGGTTAGTGGATGTCCAGGTCATTTACAGGATGTGAGTGAGCAGGACTGTACCTTTTCTGGAGTTAGAGCTTAGCGGCTGAGGGGGGGAACCTTGAGGGTGGTTTGAGCGTTGCAGATCACAGATTTGAGTTTCCCTTCCAGATTCATGAGAGAGCGGGCAGGCAGGTCTTTGACAGGAATGAATCTCCAGAGTTCTTCAGAGATCAGACAGGCAGATTTCCAACAGAGAAACTCTTCAGGGTTTCTGGTTTCAGGCAGGTTCAACCTGGGAAGCAGAAAGGAGAAATCAGATCAGGTTCAGGTTTTCAGGGAGTCAGAGATTCAGACAGGCAGCTTGGCTCAGGTTTGCTAACCGTAACTGGCAAACACTATGGCACTGGAGAGACGTCCTCTGCCTCCTTAAATACTGATCTCCTGATGAGCAGATGAGCGACAGGTGGTTGCAATCAGCTCCAGCTCCAGGAGATCTAGTACGCCCTCTGGTGGAGAAAGTGGACAGACCTCCAGATCCCAACAAAAAACACTAAAACACTGATGTCAGCAGCAGGTTCCTCCTCCTCAGCTTTGTCCTGAAGCTGCAGTTCTGTTGGACCGGGTCAGAGAGAATCTGTCCTCTTTAATCTGACAGCTGTCAGAGACGGTTGGAGCCATGTCTCTGTGAGCCAATGATGCTTCATCAGGGGACTCATCAGGAACCTTAGAGCTGATTCAGAGTTCCTCCATCTTGGTTCTGATGATCTGATATGACCCAATATTATGGGTGGTAAAGGAGACCTGTGTCCTCACTGCAGCAAACATCTGATCCTCCTCTCCAGCCTCTCCTCTGTGGCTGGTGTCCTTCCTCTGTTGGGATGACTGAATATCAGCAGGCAGATGGACGGCCTTTAAAATAGAAGCCACAACTTTAGAGCTTAGATGTCTGTATCTGGATATTATATGTAAATATATTATCTGTCTGTCTGATGAGATTTTATTGTGACGTCCTGAATTGTTTTAAACATTAATTGTAGATCACATTGTGTGTGTGGTGACGGCGTTCCTAATAGAAATATGGGCTCATATTGACGTCATTATAATGAATTGTTGCACATTACAACGATCAGCATTAAGGTAAAATGAAGCTGAAAATAGCAGTTAGACAGCAACACTTCATCCAAACTATGTCAAACTAAACTCAACAGACTTTCTACTTTCAGACGGTTTCTTTGGTGAGTCTCTGATGTCAGTCAATCAGTTGTTGGTTGGCTGTAACAAATGTTCCCGATGTTTTTTGACCAAGTCTGTCTATGACAGTGCCGTTGCAATGGTGATTTAAGCACAGGGTAACCTTTACTGCTTTGGCATCTTTTGAATTTCAACGTTTCAAATTCCTTGTTTTGAATCCAGTTTCTATCAATTCTCGATTCCAATTCTTTTAAGAGGATCTTAAAAGTTTCCCTGTTAGAAATTAGCTGCTAACCAGATTTCTGTCTGGATGAAATAATCTGAACTTCTCAATGGATTTTCCTTCCTTAAACATTTATATTTGTTTGAACATTATAAATGATTTCATAGTTATTTTCAACCAGTATATAAATATCAAACCAATGAACTGTAAGATGATCTGATTAATTTTATTTTCACAGAGTTACATTTTCACATGGAGCTTTGTTGTTTAAAACCTCATTAAAACACATTTCCATATATCCAGTGATGCTGCAGGTACTGAATTTTATTATTTTATATTCCTGATTCTGACTATGGTGCAGTCAGCATCCTGACAGAGTTTCTCTCCTCGGCGTCTTTTACTGCACCTCAGCTCCACTCAGCTAGACATGGAAGTAGTGATGTTTTACTTTCATGGACAGAGGAACAATCAGATTTCATCCTCCATCATTCAGTTAGTGGGTTTTATCGGATACAACTGATCCCAAATGGATTAAGATAAACAATCAATGATGTTATTCTTTTAATTATTCATAATTCTGGAAGATTTAGGTTCAAGTGCTTTTTATTCCATCCGGAACAAGCAGAAAACAAGGCAGGTATCTGTTTAGACATAAAGTAAGAAGAGAAAGTATGAAAGGCTCTGCTCTCCCTGCAGAAGCAGGAAGGAGGAACAAGTTCCTCAGTGAACCTAACTTAGCACAACACCCGTGCAGCAGGTCAAAGATGAGGCTCTCATTCTGACTCCGGCGGCGTTAATGATGTCGGCCGTGCGCCGTCCTTTGATTAATATAATCCCATCACCAGGTTCCCAGGTAGGGACTGGACATTTCCTTATTTAACTTTAAGCCACATTTCAAACAGATGGCTGCACACACTGCTGAGGATTCTTTTTCGTTGGTATTTGGAAGCTCCTATTGCTAGGTCAACACTAGGAATCAGAAAATAAAAAAGTTGAAGGATTCCAGGAGAATAGAAGGTTTGAACCGATTCTGATCAATTATCGATTCCCGGTGCCCAACCCTATTGGTTGCTCAGCTTCTCTGACCAAGAACAATTTGCTCTGTTTCTAATCTGCTTGGGTCCTTCAGATGTTAATGAGCACAGATGATGGTGACCATTTGCAGTTTCTTCAATATTCTGAAAGTCTTTGTTTCTACAATCAAGTGAACTAAAAGTTTTTTTGTTTGTTTTATTTTATTTTTTTTTTACATTGTTTACAGATAATAAAATCCACTAATTTTGTTTCTCAGATGGTAAGAATACCGTATGGCATAATAATGTAAATTAAAGTGGAGGATGTTCTTTTATCAGGTGTATCATCAAAATAAGTGGTCCTCCTAATTGTCAATCTTCCTGGTGATATGTTAACATAAGGCGGTCCTACGTGCTTGCCCCCGTTTTCATTTACAAGTGGTGGGTGCCACAGGAGTGGTGCCATATGGAGGACCAACTCTGCTATATTTAAAAAAATAAATACAGAAATAAATAAATCCTCAATAAATAAATAAGCATACAATCAATTGCCCCCAAAAATAAAATAAACTAATAAACGCAGGTAGAATTTATTTATACACAGGGGGGTAAATGCCCAGGCCCTGACGGATACCCTTGTGAGTTCTACAGAATATTTTGGGATAGGCTTTCTCCATTACTCTTAGAGGTGTACAATGAATCTTTGACCTCAGGGTGTTTACCTCAGACCCTTAACGAAGCAGTTATTACTTTACTAGCAAAAAAGACAAAGACCCTCTACTTTGTTCTTCTTATCGCCCAATAAGTCCACTTAATGTTGAATAGAAACAGTGCTTCCCACTGTGGTTGGGATAGATCTGACTGGCTTTGTACAAAATAGGAATTCCTTTTCCAACATAAGACGACTTTTTAATGTGGTATATAGTCAACTCTCTGTCAGTACTTAAGAGGTTGTTATATCTGTGGATGCTAAAAATGCCTTTGACAGAGTCGAGTGGCCATATTTATTTTACTCGATTAAGAAATTTGGTTTTGGAGAAAAGTTTCTGTCTTGGATTAAAATACTTTATTCTGACCCATATGCATCAATTAGGACAAATAATACCCATTCTGGTTATTTTTGCCTCAATCGCTCTATGCGCCAAGGCTGCCCAATGAACCCCTTACTATTTGCTCTGGCAATTGAAACCCTCGCAGTTTTGCTTAGATGTAATACAAATGTCATAGTTATTAAGAGGAACAATATTGAAACAAAGGTCTCTTCATATGCTAATGATCTTCTCTTGTACATTTCTAATTTGAATACCTCTATTCCTGCTGTACTTGCAACACTTGTCAAATGTGGGCAGCTATCGGGATATAAATTAAACCTCAGCAAGAGTGAATTGTTCCCAGTTATGCTCTAGCTAAGAGCTACCCATTGAACACATTACCATTTAAGGTCATAGATCAGAGTTTTATCTATTTAGGAATCCGGATTACATCTGAATACAAGGTTCTTTTTAATGCTAACTTCTCCCCTTTATTATTGTGTGTTGAGGACTTTGATTTTTGGTCAATGCTGGGCCTGTCATTGGTTGCTCGGGTCAATTCAATCAAAATGAACATTCTCCCATGTTTCTCCTACCTATTTCAGTGCATCTTTATTTTCCTTTCCTTATGGGCCCTTTTCAGCCTCCCCGTATACACACTCAACTCTTACAAAGGCCTAAAAAGCTTGGGGGGATGGCCCTTCCAAACTTTAGATATTACTATTGGGCTTCAATAGACATCCCCTTCCCGGGGATTCACCTTTAGACATTTTTCTAAAACCTACCATCAAACTGAAGGGGGCCATTTCTTATATTTACAATCAAATTATTCCTTTACACCCACAGACCCTGAATTCCCATAGATCACTTTGGGAGGAAGATTTCAGACAGGCCATCTCAGAGGATATTTGGACACTAATCTTGTCACTGGTGCACAAGTCTTCTATTTCTGCCAGACATAATCTGATTCAATGCAAACTTTTTCATCGCACTTATCATACTAATGCACGTCTGGGCAAGTTCTACACCGGCATTTCTCCTGCCTGTGATAGATGCCAACATTCTCCAGCCAATTTGATTCACACTATCT